GGTGATGCCTAGCTGCCCTCCCTTACAGTCTTACACTGCTAAATTAGGAACGGCTAGCGCAGATAGTCCTTGTGTAGCTTTGCGCGAAATTCAAAACAACTAACCAAACAACCAACTGATTAAAGGTAAAGCAATCAACCAATAAACTGATTAAAGGTAAAGCAACCAACCAATCAACTGATTAAAGGTAAAGCAACCAACCAATCAAGTGATTAAAGGTAAAGCAACCAACCAATCAACTGATTAAAGGTAAAGTATTGTCTGAGAATACTCGTCATACCCTCATTCCGAGCCAGGCGTGGCCTAATGGACTGTGAATCCAACGACTCTTTCGATTCTAGTCCCGTCGCCGGAAAATCGTGCTCCCTACTTTGGGTCCATGGGTGTGTTGTAAGAGTAACGGTCAGTTCCCACTGTTCGATTAGAGAAGCTCAAGTTTGGCGGAGGGTTTTGTCTATTAGTTGAAAATTAAGGACGGAAAACGCAAATAACTACGAATATATTAAACGTCCAAACAACCCTATAACCTCATTTACGTTATGAGCTACTCTCGTTAACATAATGCAGAGCAATATATGTTAACTTTTAACAGTTTAAGCCTGTTTCTCAATGTCTTTTAATGCGATTGTTCTGTAAAGGTAACTTCCACAAAGACAAAGTTTGAAGTTCTATTAAAAGAAAACTCGATAAATACGGTCAGGTGGGCGGCATTGCTATCTAAAACAGTCTGATGCTTAGTGAGAGTTCTTACTTAACTTATAAAATATATTAACTAACTAACTTTGTTTCTCAAACAGCGAAAGCGCGTATACGTTTATTTTATGTTAAGCACAAAGCTGCACAATGGGCTATCTGTATTGAGCCCACCACAGGAACCGAACCCCCCCAATTTTAGCGTACAGGACCTCAAGTCTACCGCTGATCCCCCGGCGTGCCCGTATATCTACGCTATTCTATTACATCTGACATATAATTACATACAGATTGTTTGTTGTTGTTTTGTATAAGATTTAGGCTACGTGTTGATGAAGAGGAGACATGGACAACAGCAGTGTTGTTGCAAGGTCTAACAGATCCATATTTTCAACAGGCTGTTCCAATCCATGCACACAGTTTTATATCATTGGCATTGAGCTTGTTTATTAACAAACCACCTGGTGGCTAGAACGCTAGACTCACAACCTGCTGGTTCCAGGATCGAAACCCGTCGCCGAACATGCTCACCCTTTCACACGTGGGGTCGTTACAATGTGGCAGTAGATTCTTTGGTAAGTAGCCTAACAGTTGGTGGTGTTGACTAGCTGCCTTCCCTCTAATCTACCACTTCAAAGTTAGAGACGGTTACCACAGATAGCCTTCTCCAAGTTAGAGACGGTTACCACAGATAGCCTTCAAGCAGCTTTACGCAAAATTCAACAAACAGTATATATATTTGTTTTTGCATGTGGCTGCTACCACGTATTGAGACTCGATTACTGAACAAAATCAGTCTGTCAGCTAGATTCTGAATGTATATACCAGGTAATGGTTTTCTTTGTGCATCTGGTTGGCTGATATGTTATCTGATCATAATCTATGTATATATATATAATCTATATATATATATATATATATTATATATATAATATATATTATATTATATATTGTGGTGTTTATTACGGTTGGAGCTATTTTAACCCTAATATTATACCGATTTTTTTTTTATATTGTTCAATAATAAATATGGGATAACTTAAAAGATATGTTGCTACATACTCACCAAGGTGTCGCCAGTTTCTGTTCTCATTTGTCAATTTAATTCGCCCATTTTAAACGAAATATTATTATACTAGCCGCGACCCGCAAAACATTTGCGGTAGTTTTCATGCCCTTCGCTTGAATTTTCCTTATTCTATCATTTTCACGTACGACATTTAAGCTGCGCCTTTTTAAGGCATTATGTATTATATCGATAAATCCTGGTCTATTTGAGAAAAAAAATTATGAAGTCAGACAAACAAACTCATGCAGATGTAACTTTTTTATATAAAATTACACGTAAAGTAACCAATAAAGTATAGTAATAGTACTTATAATAGTGTACAGAGTGTGAAGCAGTTATGAGCGTTCAGTGTATGACAAGGTTTTACGAGTTGAAACAAACAAAAATGAAAAGTAAAAAAGTAGCTAAAAGTTGTTTATAACAGTCTATGAAATAAACTGAAGCTAAATTATTGCAAAATAAAGTAAATGTAAAGTTATGATAAAGGCAAACTTTGCTGAATATACAGAAACGTCTGAATGCGTGTTCCAAAGTGATAACCACAAGGTTTGACCGAACTGCGCATGCGTATTTTAGACCTAAATAAGTCGAGAAAGCCAATAGTAATTGTATTTAGGGTTAAGTGTTGTTTGTGTGAAATCGAAGCCAGTCGTCACGTGATGATAACGACATTATGCCATCGTGAACCATACGCGTTGCCTTAAAAAGTTTAACTAAGGAAAAAAACAGACTTGTAAATATTTCATATTTTACCTAAATAAAAACATAAATATGTGCAATTACACAAGCACTCCTGAGAACTAGTACGTACTTATTATGTACAAGAAAATTGTTTGTTCGTTTGTTTTGAATTTTGCGCAAAGCTACGCGAGGGCTATCTCTGCTAGCCGTTCCTAATTTAGCAGTGTAAGACTAGAGGGAAGGCAGCTAATCATCACCACCCACCGCCAACTCTTGGGCTACTCTTTTACCAACGAATAGTGAGATTGACCGTCACATTATAACGCCCCCACGGCTGAAAGGGCGAGCACGTTTGGTGGGATGGGGATTCGAACCCACGACCCGCAGATTGCGAGTCGAGCGCTCTAACCACCTGGCCATGACCGGCCATGTACAAGAAAAACGAACACCACAGAAAACTCTAATATTCAAGTAGTTCACCAGATGGCGCGACATTGCACTGTTATACAATATTGCCGAAATTGCTTAATTCACTTATTGAAATATATATAAATATCTGTGCAAAATGAACTCCTAATATCTAATATTTATTACAGTATTAGAAGTTGGAGACAAATTTCAATATCTCAGAAACAATTGTAAAGAGCTTTTGAAGAATATTAAGAAATGCATACATATATATATATATTTGTTAATGCTGAAATTCGACATTTAAGATTTGTTGCATCAACTGCAATAAAAACAAACAAACGTATGTTCCTTTTTATAAAAATACTAGAAACCGGGTTTCGATACCCGTGGTGACCAGAGCACAGATAGCCCTTTGTGTAACTTTGTGCTTAACAACAACAACTTTTATAAAATAAAATAATAATTTATACATACATTTAAATTAATATACCTTTTATCCGTCTGGATAAAATATGTTTTAATACTAGAAAACACAAAATGTCAAGTGATGTGAAAGGTTGAATTTATAACTGGCGATCTTTTATTTAAGAAAAATGTTATTACAAACTAACAAAAATATATTTAAGAAAGAATAACTTTATATTGTTCCCTTTATTTCTTACTCCAATAATCATTACAAAAAATCGATGGTGTAATATATAATTCTGTATAATTCGATTTCATACTTTCCATATTATTTTATTCCTCCCACACACAGACACGATGACTTAAGATTTAAATTATTCGCGGTACTCAAATAGTTTTCTAGTTGTTATTTAAAAATGCATCTGTAGATGTAGGAGGGAAGGTCTGACCTAATTGCCCCCCCCCCCCCCGTCCCGAGTGGCACAGCTGTGTGTCTGCAGACTTATACTGCTCGAAACCGATTTTCGGACATAGCCGTCTCCAGGTCAGAAACCCCCATCTCTTAATTTAAAACTGCTGGTTAGAGGTAGGGGCAGCTAGACAACGAAATAGTATGGCTGAATGTTACACTTATAACACTCCATTCAGTGACAAAGAAGTAGTGGGGTTCGATGTCACCCTTATAACACTCTAGTCAGTGACAACGAAGTAGTGGGATTGAATGTCACACTTATAACAATCCAGTCAGTGACAACGAAGTAGTGGGGCTCAATTTTACACTTATAACATTCTTAGAGATGACAGTGAGAAATGTGGTCTGCAGCATATCGCAGGTCAAACCTTAGACCTTTCGATACGTAGCCCTGCACGCTAATCACTAGACCATTTCAGCCCAGATTGGTGGAGAGGCAGGTAAAAAAATCACAAACTGACATATAATACATTACAATTTCTATCCAACGACTTTGTACGTCATAATTTCTGCTAACAACAAAACATGACTCGTTATGAAACATTAGCTACAACCAACACCAGCCTACCAAAGTCGATATTACAGAATTACTACTTAAGGCAGTCTGTGTGTCAGTCAGTGGAAAGCTAAATTGGGTGAAATTAATTTTGACGCTGTCTTTTACGTAACATCGAAGAGTATACGATAGTTAAGGTTTCTAGTTGAATCTGAAATGGAGGTTTTCTCGAATCGTGACCGATTTCATACGCATGCGCTGAACATCAAACCTCGTATCATGATTCGCTAAAGACGGTAGTTTCAAACAATACTTAGATATCCTATTAGTCGAGTTATGTTCATAATAGAGAAAGTCCTGGAAGAAAACTGAAATAAGGTCAACCTGAGAGGTACTTTATAGACACATGATCTAAATTACAATGTCAAAGACTCCTAGAATCAGGCCTTCTCAGAGGTTCAGAAAGGCCCTGGCCACTTCTGTTTTTTTTGTTGTTGTGGGTTTTTTTTAGGCCCCGGACCATAATAAAAATATAAATGGGTGTTACATGAAACAAGAACAAAAAAAAAAGAGAATCATTAGCCCTAAAAAAAGTAAAACATAATTTGAATGTTTAATCTGTATATATAATGTGCAGCTCTAAGCTGAGAGTGTGTGTCACATTTTGGTCTGATTTGAAGGCACATAAAAATCGCGAAACTTAACAAATGCAAAAACAGAAAGAAAAAAACAACAACAACAAGTGTCTAAATTTAGGACCCCCTTTGAGCTAAATGGCTCTCCTGCCGCCTCTCTAATTGGTCCTACCTAGGTCTTAAGTATAGCCGCCTTACAAGACTGGAAGCAGCAAACAACAGCACTCGCCGCTACAAGGGAGTGAATCGGCTTTTTGAGCCCAATAATGGGACCGGCTGTCCCTTTTATAATTCGCACACACCTTGAAGTGCAGAGCATATTTAACAGCATAAAAATCTCGAACTCCGGACTCTTCCATCCGCAGCCCAACATGATAACCACTAAGCCAAGCCCGACTTAGCTAAAAAATAAATAAACCAATTGCTTTACTCATCTTGAAGTGAGAGTTTTGTTTATTTAACACAAACACACACAACTCTTCATCAATTGCTGGTCGATACGTTTCACCAACTTACAATTCCAGAAGGTTTGTTTTGTTTGTTTGTTTTTTGAATTTTCGCGCAAAGCTACACGAGGGCTATCTGCGCTAGCCGTCCCTAATTTAGCAGTGGAAGACTAGAGGGAAGACGGATGGTCATCACCACCCACCGCCAACTCTTGGGCTACTCTTTTACCAACGAATAGTGGGATTGACCGTCACATTATAACGCCCCCACGGCTGAAACGGCGAGCATGTTTGGTGTGAAGGGGACTCGAACCCGCGACCCGCAGATTGCGAGTCGAGCGCCCTAACCACCTGGCCATATCAGGCCAATCCAGAAGGAACAGAACCTGATTCACAGATACAACTAGGAAGTTATATACACCATATAAACGTTAAAAGTCCTACAATGGTGGTCATTGGAATAGAACTTAAATTATTACTGAATATTTCATGTAAAAAGAAAATAATCCGAATTTTGTATGGTAATTTCTAGAACCAGGCGTTTTTCCATGGAGTTCTGAAAAATATATCGAAATTCATAACCGATTTGTTGAGCTTCCAGAGATCTGAGAAATGAAACGAAATGCGTAACAGATTTGTTGGATTCTCGGAGTTCTGAGAAATATATCAAAATACATCATCGAGTTTATGGATTTTATTTCCTTGAAATTTTCAAGTTTCGTGAAACTTTCGCTAAATTTATTGTCGTAAGAAGAAAAAAAAACTTTCATGTTAGCAGGAAATTGAAAAATATAATAATAATAAAATAAACACGTTGTTCTTTCTTCTTCGAGATTGTCCGACTATCATCGTCTGCTGATGATCAATCAGATTGATCTGAGATTGTCCGACTATCATCGTCTGCTGCTGTTGTATCCAATACCCTTCGATTCAAGATTGATTAAAAAAACGGGTAATGTTTTTATTGTTGATAAATCTTAAGAGTTTTTACGGATCCTGTTTCGAAATAAACGAAATACAAATGTTCGATCTGATTACTCGTATTGCAATACTTTGATCTGATTACTCGTAATGCAATACTTTGATCTGATTACTCGTAATGCAATACTTTGATCTGACTACTCGTAATGCAATACTTTGATCTGACTACTCGTAATCCTTTTTCTCGAATTCTGCCGTTTAAGGTTGTGAAACAGCTTGAACTGTACAAGTGTGAAAAGTTTGTTGTTAAGCGCGAAGCTACATAATAACGGGCTATCTGTGCTGTGCCCATTACGGGCATCGAAACCCGCTTTTTCTTTTTTTCCTTTTTAAACGTTATAATCCTTCAGACTATTTGTTTAAAATCTGTCTGTTTTGTTAGAGGGTAAAGTGAAATGAATATTATTTAAATTTGATTTAAACAGTCACGTAGAAAAAAGAAAAAAACGCTAGCCGGTGTTGAGAAATATTAGAAATAAAACCGTGCCTCGTCGGGTACAGCTCGGGAACTCACCTTGATATACAACGCCGTTGATAAGGGTAAGGTGTACACAACGGCCAAAATGCATAGCGTCACGGCCAATCGCATCATGATCTCCAACATACAAAGTAAAAGACGAACCTTCCAGCAGAGGGACTTGTGACCAAGATGACAAAGCAGTCACGTTTCGCGGGATTTATATTGTACGAGCGACCGACAGCTGTTGTTAGCGTGGTCAGTGAACTAGCGTCTACTGGCTTTGAGAAACCTCAAAAGATTTTCCGTTCCTTCGCGAAGCGAACTAAAATTACCGATAAATCATGAGCTGTTGTCACCATAGAAACCGTTTCCAGGAGACACCCGAGGAATGAATTTAAGACTGAACATGCCTTGAGAAAAAGATTGCGTAGTTGGTGACTACGATATACCAATCCGCAATGTTTGTGATTACGCCAATGTTTAGCTATTAAGGAAACTTCATTGGTTTCTCATTAACGAATTCAGTCAATGACGTCAGTAGAAGCTTACACATTCTTAAGAACTCGTAGATACACGAGCACGTGGGTAGCTCAAGCTGTGTGACTGTATACATCCGTGTTTACAAACATCTAAACTATGCTAGCAGTGATACGCCTGTTCAGTGTAGCATGATCTAGCAAACTGCTATTTTATTAAGTTTCGGAAACTATGTCCAGTAAATGGAAAGAAATGTACATAAATCAGCCATACTTAGGGAAAAAGCAGACCACAAAATACCTATATTGAGCTTAAAAGAGATTTGTTTTTTTTTGTTTGTTTGTTTGTAATTAAGCACAAAGCTACACAATGGGCTATCTGTGCTCTGCCCATCACGGGAATCGAGACCCGGATTCTAGCGTTGTAACTCCGCAGAGGTTATCATTTAGTATATTTAAACATTTAAACTAGAATATATATAATTTATCACATACATAGCTCCCCCCTCCTCCGATAAATCTGAGGGCTTCTAACGCTAAAATTCAGGTTTATATACACACGATGGATAGAGCACAGATAGCCCATTGTGAAGCTTTGCGCTTAACAACAAAAAAGCAAGACTTAAGAAGAGGTTTTCAAAAAAAATATGATGCACAAACATTTTTTAATCATTTATTTACAAACTGGCAAGGAGATTTTAACAAAATACTAGGTGTTTATACAATAACAAATAAAATCCTTCCCATAAGAAGATTGATCAGACTTTATAGGATCGACTTGCGTATGCATACGATGCTAACGACTTATGGCACCTTATGCAACAGACGGGTTAATCGGCCAGATAAGACACCACAGGAGGAAGGCAACGATCCAATAACACCCGCCTCTATAAGAGCTGTGATTTGGATCTTTAAACCGAATAGTGATATTGACTGTCTCTCTTATAACGTCCTGTAACACAATAGTATGAGTAAATATAAAGCCTAGTCTGAGTTTGTTTTTTTAAGAAAGTGAAAATCCTTTTATAAGGTTTAAAAAATAATATTTCTTACTGTTTAAAATACCCGTCATCAAACATGCTCGGCCTTTCAGCTGTGGAGGCGTTATAATGTTAGGGTCAATCCCATCATTGAATAGTAAATAGTAGCCCAAGAGTTGGTGGTGGCTGGTGCTGATTAGCTGCCCCCCCCCTTTAGCATGTTTGAGGGCGGGTTTCGATCCTCCGACCCACAGATTGCGAGATGAGCACCATGCCATGACGAACCCAATTATAGATAGAATTACATCACAAACGTTAAGACTAAAGAGCGTGCACTTATAGATTTAGTGAGTCCGCATGTTTTATTGAGAAAAAAAATAAAATTAACATTTTTTTTTTTTTTTTTTTTTAGTAAGAGGTTCGTATTTTGCATTGTGATAGACTTAGTTTAAAGTAGCAGCGTAACATTTTTATTGGATTCGGGTCCCCCTGTGGGACAGCGTTAAGTCTCCGGAGTTACAGCACTAAAATCAGGGGTTCGGTTCCCCCTCGGTGGACACAGCAGATAGCTCGATGTGGCTTGGCTATAAGAAAAAACACACACACTCTATCGAGTTCGATGGCGGGGATCGGCAAAGAATTGGTGTGAAATGTGTGAACTATGCTACGGATGGAAAGGAGCAGCTAAAACAGTATGGGAATCGGCAAAGAATTGGTGTGAAATGTGTGAACTATGCTACGGGTGGAAAGAAGCAGCTACAACAGTATGGGGATCGGCAAAAAATTGGTGTGAAATGTGTGAACTATGCTACGGATGGAAAAGAGCAGCTACCACAGTATGGGAATCGGCAAAGAATTGGTGTGAAATGTGTGAACTATGCTACGGGTGGAAAGGAGCAGCTGCAACAGTATGGGGGATCGGCAAAGAATTGGTGTGAAATGTGTGAACTATGCTACGGATGGAAAGGAGCAGCTACAACAGTATGGTGTTGGAGCACCAGTTGAGAGAGTTGTTGTTGACGTGCTTGGTCCACTGCCACAGAATAACAGTAGGAATAAATACATCATGGTTCTGGTGGACTGTTTCACCAAATGTATAGAAACATATGCCTTTCCTAATCAGGAAGCAGAAATTCTAGCAAGGGAAACTTCAAGGTTTGATGCCTATGGAACTACACTCAGATCGGGGATAGAACTTTGAATCAGCCTTGTTTATGGCAATGTGTCGGATCTTTAGAATAAAAAAAAGACTAGGATAACGGCCCTTCATCCATCTTCCAATGGCATGGTGGAGAGATACAACCATGCACTTATATATCAGTTAGCCAATTATGTGGATTAACACAAGAAAACATGAGATCAAGATCTGTTGAAGTAAGTTTATAAGTTATTAAGCGTACATTAGAATTAAATCACAGAGAAAGAGACGGCCTGATTTTAAACCTAACCCAGGCAATTATAAAGCATTCTAACATACTGTGTCTTGAAATATATCACAAATGTGGTTTCACTTTGACATAACTACACTACGTTGGAATACAATATGTTTTATAGGGTTTCGATAACACACTGCTGTGCTACAATAGTTTAAATGGTTTCGATAACACACTGCTGTGCTACAGTAGTTTAAATGGTTACGATAACACACTGCTGTGCTACAGTAGTTTAAATGGTTACGATAACACATCGATGGGCTACAGTAGTTTAAATGGTTACGATAACACATCGATGGGCTACAGTAGTTTAAATGGTTACGATAACACGCTGCTGTGCTACAGTAGTTTAAATGGTTACGATAACACATCGATGGGCTACAGTAGTTTAAATGGTTACGATAACACACTGCTGTGCTACAGTAGTTTAAATGGTTACGATAACACACTGCTGTGCTACAGTAGTTTAAATGGTTACGATAACACACTGCTGGGCTACAGT